CAGTGAGATAAAGCACAACACTAAGGAGCTAAAGCCACATCAGCATGATATTCCCTTTGTCTTAAAACATGCTCCTTTATAAGACTTCTAAGCTTCTTGTTTGGTATTGCTAGGTGCTGAAGTTGTGGCAAAGGAAAGTCCTGTGTGGCCAGCACATAGTATCAAGCTACAAGGGTGAATTAGAAAGCAAACTGTGAGCTGAAGACTAAGTATGTAGGAATTTGTAAGAGATGGTGAGCATTTTGGGGTTCAATTGCCTGGGAGCCTCTAGTTAGTGCCTAATGCTGAAGAGGTGAGTGAAACTCTTACAAGGTTTAGCTAACAAAAAGGAGTGAGTATTCCTCAGAAACAGGTTTAGCTAACAAGGTTAGTTTAGCTAACAAAAAGGAGTGAGTATTCCTCAGAAACAGCATCCATTCTGTACCCCCAAGAGCCTTGCCCCAAGGCCAAGTGCTTTCAATGACTACTGGGGTGAGAACAACAGCAATCTCACGGGCCAGAGCTTGAGATTCTAGATCAGAGACTCTCAGAGATTCCAGGTGTGACTGAGATGGTGATGTCTTTGCCCTTAGGATAGCCAGACCTCACTGGCAATTTACTTCCTCAGGCATTCCAGGAAGTCATGCATGCCATCGGTGTGCTATGTGGTGACACTATTGCAAAGTCCTATCCTAGGTATTTTCCTATTCTTGGAAAGCATGAGTAACTCATCGTCACAATGTTTTGTGTCATGTCTGCAATCCCAGACAGTCTATCAGTTCTGTGAGGGTCATCTGTCTTGTTTAGTGCTGTATCTCCAGTGTCTTGCCACTGCGCCTAGCACATAGTACATTCTCAGGAAATATTTCATGCAAATCAAAACCACAATGAGTTGTTGCCATACACTTGTTATAATGGCTCTTTTCAAAAAGAGAAGAAATAATTAAGGTTGATAAAGGGGATCCTTGTGCACTGTTGGTGGTGTCATAAGTTGGTGCCACCAGTATGGGGAACAATATAGGTGTTCAACAAAAAAACTAAAAATAGAACTACCTTATGGTCCAGCAATTCCACATCTGAGCATTTATCTGAAGGAAAAGAAAACATGAACTTGAAGAGATAGATGTGCCTTACATGCTCATTGCAGCATTAATCACAGTAGCTGAGCGATGAAAAAGATCATGGCATCCATCAGTGGATGAATAGGTGGAGAAAATGTGGTATATATGAATTTAATCAACCAGAAAAATAATGAAATCTTTGCCGTTGCAACAGCATAGGTAAACTTCAAAGACAAAATAAGTGAAATGAGTCAGAGAAACACAAATGCTAGCTGATCTTGCTTAGGTGAGAAATCTAAAGAAAAAAAAGCTCATAGATATAAAGATTGGTGAGTTTGAGTTGAGCATTGGAAAGTGGGGGTTTGCAAAATAGGTGAAAAGAGTACAAAGGTACAATTTTTCAGTAATAGAATTAATAACTTATGGCATGTAATATATACAGCATGGTAATCATAATACTGTATTACATATTTGAAAGTAGCTAACAGATTAAGCCTTTTCTTTTTTAAGACTTATTTATGCTTACAGAACTGGGGTACAGGCTAGAGGTATGGTGGGTGAGGGGGTTCACCAGAGACAGAGTGGGGAGCAAAACAGGCAGACCTACAGAAGTACACTGCTGAGGGGAGCAGTGGGTGGGTCAGAAGAGGTCTGCCATGCCATGTGGGTCAGCTCTCTGGCTGGCGATTGAACTGGTGCTGCAGTGGCTTCAGAGAGCTTCATAATGTGGTGCTTTAACCCACTGCGCCACCAGGGGGAGCCCAAGCCTTTTTCTTTTTAAGACAGCATTGGTTTACCTCACCGTATAGCTTCCAGTTGTATAGTTTATCACTTCAGCAACTGCAGATATCACCCCATGCCACCTCCAAAATCCAGTTACCATCACCTCTTGCCAACCAACTGGCCCTCTCTTATCTAGTCCCTCCTCTCTCCTTCCCCTCTGGTAACCACTATTCTGTTGTCAGATTCTAAGTATTTTTTTTTTTTTTTGCTTTGTCTATTTGGTTTTTTCCCCTTTATTATCACACAAGTGAGTGAGTCAGTCATTTGGTATTTGTCCTTTCCTGTCTGATTTACTTCACTTAGCATAATCTCCTCAAGCCCCATCCGTGTTGTCACAAATGGCAGCTATTGATTTTTATCCCTGAGTAGTATTCCATTGTGTATATATACCACACCTTAGTCCTTTCATGTTAGAGTAGACCATAAAATTTATTACAAGAGGGGCCTCCCTGGTGGTTCAGGGGTTAAAGACAGTGCTACGAAGCTATTGCCAGTCACCAAAGTACAAGTCCCATCCCCTGCCAGGGAGCTGACCCACATGGCACAGCAGACCTCTCCTGTCTTGTCTGATGCTCCCTTCAGCAGTGTATTTCAGTTGGTCTGTCTGTTCTGCTCTCCAATTCTGTCTGTTGGATTCTCTCACCCCTGCTCTTCTGGACTACACCCAGTTATTGTATGTGTAAATAAATAAATATTTTTTAATCACAAGAAAAAATTGTAACAGTATATGTAGAATTATAAATGTTAATCAGAATTTATTGTGATCATTTCATAATTTTATACAAATATTGATTTTTCATGTTGTATGACAAATCACGTGGATTATACCTCATTAAATTAGAAGAAATATTTCATGAGTGAGTGAATGAATGAGAAAGTCTACTTCTAGGATGAGTAAAATTTGAATTACCTGTAAGGGTTAAAGGTTTGAAGAGAGTCAGGTGTGGTCACTGTGTTTGCCAGGCACAGTTTGGAAAACAGTTAAGAGTCCATCCCTGTTCCTGTTCTGAGGCAAACAGTTCCCATCATGCCTATTTAGTATAGTGCTGGATGGAAAAAGAGCCACTAAAGCATCTTTGCCTTAAAACAAAATCGTAATTAAAACAAACAGATGGTAGTTTACACAGCTGGTCTTGATTTTTCTCTTAGCATTCAATTTCAGCTCAGGCCCTACCTACTCATTGTGGGAACCAATTTTCACATAGTCTGGGTCCTGATTCCAATAATTCCAAAGTGTTCCCATAT